CGTAATTTAAGGCGGTGAAACCGTGAAAGGGCTTTCTTTATCAAAAGACTTTGGTGTATCGTTTGCTGCTATTTAGTGTGCATTTCGCTTTGATTTCCGGGTTTTGACTCGGCTCAAGTGTGATCGAATTCTCGTTGGAAATAGGCTGTGCACGGGGTAGAACCTGCATGGCAAGAGAGAGTTGATGATAGGACTCGTAGGAGTGTATCACAGTTGCTTTTGGAGACACTTGTTTTTTATTGTCCGTTGTTCCTTAGCTTTGACCGGTCAACAAACGACACGTCATCACGGCTAGTGAGATTACCTGAGGTTGGGGGCAGCAATAAGGAGGTATAATGGTGTTTCTTACCTTATCTTCCCTCCAACATTGAGGAAACCATGAGTGTAAGAATGTCATTAGTAGGGTAGCTTAGCAATCAGTGATTCGACCAAGGTCACTACTGATCAATAATGTGATATTAGCTTCTATATGGTTCAAATCTGCTATTTGGGCACTTAGAAAAGCCAGTTCAAATCTGCTATTTGGGCACTTAGAAAAGCCGGTTCAAATCTGCTATTTGCGCACTTAGAAAAGCTGGTTCAAGTCTGCTATTCGGGCACTTCGAAAAGCCGCGACCAAGGATTTAAAAAAGATCCTGTCCAGTTGATGTGGCTCAGTGGTTAGAGCACCGGTTGGAAACGCGCATTGTGGTATGAGGTTGCGGGTTCAAAACTCAATTGCAACCTTGCGCATGGACACCGGCAGGGCGTTAGATTGACGCACGGCTGGACATACACTCCCTTGGGCTGATGCATGGTACTATTACAGACACTGCCTGCGCACCGCCCAAGGGTTGTTCATGGTGTTGTATGTTGGTTCTGGGTTTCACATGGGTTGCTTGGGGGTGTTGGTCTTGGGTGTTCTGTTGATCTCCCCAGTCTGGCATATCACACGTTCGCGCCATTTCCGCTAGTCGCTCACATGGTAGAGTCATTCAATTACATGTTACAAGGTCACGGGTTCGAGCTTCGTTCAGACCTTGGGGGGGGTCCTTGGCCAGGTTACCCCGTTCTCTCTTCGATATACACACATGATGCTGCCTATACCTCTCGATACATTGATTCACAGAGCACACACAGCCTTCGGGCATATACATAGCTTGCAAATTATACATGGCCTACGGGCATAGCTTGCAAATTATACATGGCCTACGGGCTACATACACAAGTTTCCACACATGGTGCTGTCTGTACATCTTGATACATAGTTACACGGAGCATACATAGCCTTCGGGTATACACATAGATTGCGAACTACACAACTATCAGATTGGGGGGGTCTAGTCACTGGGTGGGGTCTAGTATTTGCAGTAGGTACAGGTAAGGGCCGCCAGAGTCCCTATTAATATTTGGATAGAACTGTCTGGTGGCTATATAAGGCTTAGACCCTAGGGTAAGGGTAGAGGTATAAGTCGCTCAGGCCAGTCCGAGTTCCGCCTGGCCTTGGGTAAGCTAGGGGAAGGACGGTAAGACTGCTTCAATGGTTGCTACCCTGTCTGAACCTAGGGCCCAGAGTCTCTTGGGGCCTGCAGTAGATTGTCTGGGCCTGGCGTCCGAAGTTTTCGTTTGACAAGGCTCGTCCGATTCCGCTCCCATTAGGGTTGGGCAACCTATCAGCCCTGGTGCCTATCACTGCTGTTCGGTCCAAGTTACCTGTCCATTGGTAGGGTAATGGTCCTAAGTGCTGGTCACACTGAGGTAGGATAGTGGGGTAGGGGGTGCGCTAGGAGTATTGACGTGAGGATGGGATGGGAGGTGGTCTCATATTCCAGGACACCCATGGCCTACTGCTCCAGGTGATCATTGTGCACTCAGTGACTGGCCTCTACAACACCATGGACTTAATTAAAACAAAAATAATAATAAAAAAAAATCCTAACGGCCTTCTTGTGGAGAGGTAATCAAAAGACCTACAAGGTTATCCCAAGAGTAGATGGCTTCCCCTCATGATCGTGACAGAGTTCATCGCCAACATCTTAATGAATGATTAACTGTTAGTTAATCATTCATTAAAATGGCAGACTTCTCTTTCGTCAAAACAGAGTTCATCGCCGTCTGTTAAAGACGACTGATCACACGAGGAGCTCAGGACTTGATGGGTCAAGTCCTGAGCTCCTCGTGCGATCGGTCGTCTTTAACAGTGCCTTACCACCAGGAGCTCAGGACCGATCACAGGAGGAGCTCAGGGCTGACACACGGTGGACTTCTGGTGGTGAGTAAGGCAGTGGTATAGAGAGAATAGTGGAGCAGTTAATGGGCATCTAGTGGCAGAGAAGTGGAGGACTCGTAACTCAACCGAGTCGATCACAAACTGGTGTACCAAGAGAACACTGGAAAGGGGTCCCACCGTCTTTCCGCAAACAGATTGCAAGGTCATTATTGCTGTATTTGGGGCAACTTTCAGTCTACGTACCGCAATAACGACTGTGCGTTCTATTCAGGCATAGACAAGAGGAGTCCT